ATATATATATATATATATATATAATATTAATATGCAGTGTATATATAATATTAATTTATATATTAATTTATATATATTCTATATATCATATTTAAACTTACATTTAAATATGATATATAGAATTCGATATTGTATTAAGTGCGAATAGTTTTGGTGCTATATATAGTGTGAATATTTTACTTTAATATTATGTTGTTGTCACTCGTGTTGTAAGCTGTCACTCGACTATAATCAGGACATCATTATAGAAAAATCACATTTTTAATTGATGTCTCTTTTGAATTCCAATTTAAAGTCACCAAGACTGATTTAATTCTAATGAATTTGATGTGGATGTTTACACTGATAAATGAGGGCAAATGTAGTTTATGGCCTTGGCTCAGCTGCATATTGCTTTGACTGTTGACAGACTAACCATCACTGGCTGACTGGATGATATGTGTAGCCTCAGGGTGCTGGCCTTTGACCTTGGGGGATTTTATAGGCCTTAGATAAATATTGTGTTTAAGTGTCTGGTGTCGGTTGCACTCCAGCCCTCCCCAGTCACCTCATCCATTACTGCTGTTTAAAGTCCAGCCAAGCCAGAATAATCAAGTGCAGCACCAAATAATATTTAATCAAGAGTTAATTTGCAGTTTAAATAGTTTATTGCTCCCTACCTAGAAGATTAAATAAACATGAATACATTTGTATACATATATTTGGCTATAAGAGACTTTTTGATCTGAACAATCCAAGACCATTCCACATAGTCTCTTATTTATCAGAGCACATACTGAGGTTTGAACAGTTAATTCAATACTTGCAACTGTACCAATTGAAATTAATAGACAATATCCTCTCTATCACCTCTCAGGCTGCTTTAGGACTTCAGGAGAAGCATGTTGAGGGTGGTGGTGTATCAGCGGTCATTCAAGGTTTGCCCACCCAACTTCTGGGTCCAGTGCCCCTGTCTGTTGCAATGGAGACCAAAGTGAGCAGCAGCCACCAAGCTCTCCTGCAGCACCTCCTCCAGAAAGAGCAGCTCCGCCACCAAAAGATCCTCTCTACTGGTGAGAACATCAGAGCTTCGATATATCCAAAGTTGAGTCATGAAACTCTAGATGGCACAGTCCCATATAGGTATAACTCAATATGGCATAATGACATCATCACAAGGCGCAGCTGATTGGTTCTTTGTATCAGCAGCCAATGAGTTTGCTGCTCAATATTCAAATACACGGCTAGTGTTTGCTGTAGCAGTTGTAGTGTGCTTCAGAAATCCTCCACCTTCCCCAGTTCCACCTGTATAGATCTGCTACGGGGTAATTCATGTATGCTATATATGGGGTTTATTCATTTATGTTATCTGTGCAGCAGCAGTATTTCTTACATGCTCACAGCAGCATGTTGTGGATGTATTGGTGGTAGCAAGTCGGTACTTTCTCTGCTGCAGCTGTAATGTACAAACATTGTCATGTACATTACCATGCCAAACCCTCTGAAAGTTGTCATGACAGAAATAAGATTCTTACAGAATACTTAAGTAGATTCAGCATAATAGAATTTGATTTCAACTGAACAGACTACATTAGACCACAAATTGTGTCATTTGCCCACCCTCATGGTGTTCCAAACCCATATGACTTTTTTCCTTTCTTTCTTCAATGAAATGAATGGGGACTAGAAACTTGAAGCTTCAAAAAAGCAACATAAAGGGATCAAAGTCTTCTGTAGGCATGCAATAACTTTGTATGATGAACATACTGCTGCAACCTGGGCTGTGTTTCCCAAAAGCATCGTAAGCCTAAGTTGATTGTAGCTCCATTGGTGGCAATAGGTCTACGATGTACTTAGGCTTACGATGTTTTGGGAAACTCAGCCCTGGTCATTGAGACTGAAGGCTCGAATACACAACATGGCTTTTCAAATCTGAACAGATTTAAAACACTGACTTTGTAAATGTTTTCAGAGAAAAAGTGGGCATCATACACTAAACAATCAGATGCTACCAGACTTTCAAATCGTTCTCAACACAACAAACTCAAGCAGAAACTTGCTCCTCGTTGCTATGAGAAATGACAAATGTGAACAATGTGTTCTAAAATCATCTCAAAATATCAAATATTTGATGTCCTTCTCAGACCGGATAGGTTTGAAGTCTGAAGAAATACTGTGCCCATCATACACTACACAGTTCTGAGTGAAATCTGTCAACTCAAATCTGTAGATTCACTTTTAGCAGCTAGCGTCAACTTGTCCAGACTGTAAACTGGGGGGGAAAATCTGGGCAAAAGTAATGTGGTGTATTCCAGCCTTGTAATCAAATCATCCAGACTGCTTTGTAAACTGAATCAACCAATAAATTGAAAAGATCCAACTTAAAAGAATGATTCATTCACAAATCATGAGCATCACTTCTTCTCTAGGGGAACATGCTAAGGAGATCTAGAGTGAGTAAATAGTGACAAATTTCATTTTTGGGTGCACCATTCCTTTAAGTGAAATCAGAGCAGAGAGGGTGAAACTTTTATTCTATTCGATTTATATTGATCAGATCCATATATTTTGTTGCATAGGTCAAAGTCCTGTGCATCCTCCTTCTCCACTGGCCATGATGGAAAGCTCTCCAAGCAGCACTCGACCCAAACTGCCTCGTCACCGGCCCTTAAACCGAACCCAATCGGCTCCGCTGCCCCAGAGCACACTAGCTCAACTTGTGATTCAGCAGCAACACCAGAACTTCCTGGAGAAGCAGAAACAGTACCAGCAACAGGTCCACATCAACAAGGTACAATCACTTAATCAACCTGTCAGTGCAACAATGACTTTAGTGCTATCATGGGAAGATGAGGATGAAGCTGAATGATTATGTTGTCATCTTAAAGCACTTTTTCCTTGAAATACCATTCAGTTCACATGGGAACTAAAGTTGGACAGCCCATCTCCATTATGTTAGGGAACAACCTTTACTGGGTTCAGAAGCAGCACTTGAATTAGCATAGCTTAAGGCATCAGTTGCATGCTAACACCACAAAATTGCACAGGGACAAGTTCAAATGGGCACCAAAGAGGATAGAATACATACTTTTGTTCCCCTGTGGAAATATTTGTGTTTCTGTGCACCAGCAGCCATGACCTGGCCATCCGTTTAAGTGCAATTATTCTGCTGCGCATGCAAGGTTAGCGACACGGGAGGCTCGCTCTGTGAAAGACTCCATTGTTAGCGGGAGCTTGCAGATTGATCTGCCTTATTATTGCTGAGAGTGCAATGGGAAATTCAAGATTACAAGTGCCATTTTCAGACGTGAAGATCAAAAGTGCCCAGAGAGCACTTGTTTTTGGCTATTTATTGTTATGGCCTCAGTCACCAGGGGCATGTACAAAAAAACAGTCTAGTCTGGGTCACGAATGACTGGTATAGTTGCATGACTGTAGTTTGAAAGTTGCTAACTCATTTGTTTTTCATGTTTAAGTCATGTGAAACTAGCAAATCATAGTTAAATACAAAAATGCTAAATGCATAGTGCATAAAAAAGCACAGGTTCTTAGAAATGTAGTCTTTGTGTTTATGTTGGTGTCAAATGAATTTGGAAATCTATTAAAAGTCTCAATTCACTGACCCTAAAAATGTCATGTGGATAAACCATCACTTAAAACATATTTTTCCTACACCTTGAACACATATGAGGGGGG